TTTGACAGTCAAAAGTTCAAATTTTTGGTCAACATATCATTTTGAAGCCACAAACATCATTTGATCAATGCTTGATCATGATTCTCAAAATTTGGCTCAGAAATCATCAAAGATGCAAAAGTTACTATATTTGGACAGCTGAAAAAGTCAACTGAAATTGACCAGGGCATAACTTTCACATGGATTATCAGAAAAATTCCATCCAAAGCTCATTTTGAAGAGAAAGACATTTCATACAACTCATCTTCATACTTCAAGTCCAAGAAATGCTCTCACAAAAAGTTATCAATTTCAACATTATAGGTCATTTTCAAAAGTCAACCAAAAGGGACTTTAAGTCAAAGGCCATAACTTGAGATTGGTAAATCAAAATGACATGGGACCAAAGGCATTGGTTAAAGGACTCAAAGACCTTTCCAAAATGTCCAAGAACATGAGAAAATCTTAAAAATTGAGCAAGTTATGCCTTGTGGAAGTTGGGAAATTTTTGGATATTTTGAAAAATCAACATTACTTCAAATGACCTAAAATTGCTAATGGGCCCATTTTTCTTCCATGATTCATCATTCCAAGCATATGCACGACCACTTGGCCCAAAGGGAAGTATTTTCTCATTTTTTATTTATTTATTTGAATTATTATTTATATTAATTCATTTAAATTATTTAAATACATGAAAAATATCTAATTTGCCTTAACAAATCTTTTCATGCATGTTTTACCCTTAATATCTCGTGCACCTCCCAATATGGCAAGATTTGGTCTGATTTGAGCTAATTGATACAAAGAACACATGAAAAAAGATATGGAAGATCCTTAAGAAATCAAATATGCAAAACCATTATGGCATTGGATTTTATTGAATATTTTTGACCTAATAGCCTCAATACATAAACAGGAATCAAACCCTAATCACAACACACAAGAAAGCTGCGCAAGAAACACATTTGAAAACTTGAAAAATTCCCTAAAAGTGCAAAACTGAAATCAGGGTTAGAGGAGGATTCAAGCCCTGATATTCATTCCATTGGCTTCCTGAAGCTTCACTGATCATATTCCAATTCATAACACTCATCAAAAGGCAAGGAATCGATGTACAGAACTCAACATATTCCATGAAAATTTCATAATCGTATTCTATATTCTATGCATTTTCATGACATTTCACTTATTGATTCTTGTTCCTGATGTGATTTCAAAGCTAACTGATATGTTTGATTGAATTTTTGCAAGCCATACGCGATTATGCCATAACTGACTTTTAGGGTTTTCAGAGTTCTTAATTTGGGGCTTTTACAAAGAGGAAAAATTAAGCCTCAAAATCATGATCATTAGACTCAGCGCATGGAGACGGAGAGAAATCTACCCTCGCGCTCAATTTATGAGCGTTGAGGAGCTATTCGCTATTTTCCAGTAGCCTACCTTAAGCCACGCCCAGAAAACCGTTGCCATATCTTCTTGTTTCAGAAAAAAGAAAAAAGCACGCGAGGAAGATGATGCGTTGGCGAAAGTTGGTTGGTGCGTTTGAAAATTCGCGCGCTGAACCACTAGCGCGTTTGTTTTTCTTTTTGTTATTTGTTTATTATAATATGTTAACATACGTTTCATGGCTCAGCTGGCAAGCTATTAATGCATTGACGTCCAAGACCTGGGTTCGAGTCCCAGGTCTGTATAATTTCAATATTATTTTGCTATATGTCTTCCTATGCAGCGCTGATGTTCAGGATGTACCATACGCCTCAAAATCCAAAGGTCCACGCGTCCAGCAAATTCAAATCAAGGGCAGGGATTCAAAGAGCATGCTATGCCCAGGTCAACGCGCTGGCACACAAACTGAAAAGGTCAAACGAACCAAAGCTTAATGGGCCAGCATTCTAAGGCCTATACCTCACAATTGGGACTGAAACCCCCTGGTTTGCAATTTCTTTCTTTTTTTACTTATTTTTATTTTATTGTTAATTGTTATTTTATTTGATTCAATTGTTTTAATTTAATTAATTATATTTTACAAATTATAAAATACACAAAAAATCAGAAAAAAGAGAAGAATATAATATTTATTTATTTTAATTATTTTTCTTGTAAACAAATGCATGTAAATAAATTTAGTAAAATAGGTTTTAACTTTAATTCTTTTTAATAACCAAAAATCCAAAAAAACATAGAATTTAGGTTTAATGAATTTTATTCCTTTTTTTTTAATTTTCCTTTTTTTTTTCATAATAATAATATTACTTATTTTATTTTCATAATTAAATTGTACATAAATTAACTTAGGTTTAATTTAGGTTATATTTTAATATTTTCATAACAAACTTAAAAACCATTAGAATTAGGGTTAGTTAATTTTAATTAATTCTTTTTTCTATTAAATCTTAAAAAACATAAAAATACCAAAAAAGAAACATTTTCTTTTAATTTTAATTTTAAATTCCTTATTAATTTTAATTTTGCGAAAGGGTCCAACGCCCATATTTTTAATCGTTTAATTTGCATATTTATTTTATTGCTTAAATATTTATGTATCTGTCCCGAAGCCATGTAACTTAAACTTCTCGCACTTTTCAATTTCGTTATTTACTTTGCTTTATTTATTTTCTGTCAAATCGGGTTCTGGATTAAATTTGGCGATGTGGACCCGCGCCTTTGTAATAGTTTAGAACTTTTAATTTCCGCATCCTTTTAACTGTTAACTATTGCATGCAAGAATGAATGTCAAAATAAAAATAACGCGTAGATCACCCATGACATGAACAAGACAAAATACCAAATGAAAACGACACACGAATCGCACACACCACCCCTAGGGTACGCCTCATTGTTGCCTTTCGAAAGGTGATCGTCGAGTAGAGGATGTCTTAGTAAGTCCTCATGATCCGGGAACCTGGCATGAGGGTAGCTTCTAAGGTGTCTTCCTATTGCTCTGGTGATCACCATGTCCCTACAAACTCGAATTGACCTAAATACCTCCAATGGTGGTGCTACCTACCTCTCAATGGTGGGATGGCACTACTTTAAAGGACATTTACACAGACGAATTCCTTAGGGTAGGTAGGTTCTCAAAGATACTTGCTCTAATTTCCAACAAAAATACTTTTCACACCAACACATTTTCAAAAGCTTTCAAAGCAATTTTTTCAAACACTCTGACGTACGAGTCGAACTGAAATTTTTCAAAGAAAACTTTTTAAACCCACAATTGAAAAGCAAGCAAACATTTTTGAAAACACATTGAGCAAGTATCTAAGAGCCCATGGATAACCATGGATAGAAATGGTGCTAACACCTTCCCTTTCTATAACCTACCTCCCGAACCGAGAGCAATCTCTTTAAGGAATTTTTCTGTGCTTTTGTCCTTTCCATTTGGAGAAAATAAAAGACGGTGGCGACTCTTGCTTCCGCGACATTTTGCGAACCAGCGTTAAACAGTCAGTTCCAGATCCACCGATCACAAAATGTTACTGGAAATTCTGCAGAAAATAAATGCATTTATATTAAATGGGTGTACCATACGTACATCCTCAATAAACTCGTTTCTCTTTAACACTTGGTACTTTGAGTAATTTCTGAGTAATTTGTACAAAGATGTTCACCACCACCTAATCGAAATACTAAGGCCACTATTTATACTACTTCGACCCTAACGGTCTTCTACATGAATTAATGCCACATTTCTGTTTGCATGTCTTCAACGAACTCAAAGCCTTCCACGTGTCCTTTCGGATAAGATCAAAATATTTCAATTCAAATCTCCTTCTTATCTTGAGCGCCAATCTCTGAAGACGGTCGAAAAACTGTTTCAAACTATAGCCACATTTCGAATAACAATCTTTATTCAATAATTAGAATTTGGTAAATCTTTCCAACAAATTTTACTCAATTCAAATATCAACCTTTATAGATTCACATAAATAAAGTAGTGGAATATTCTGAACTATATTCGAGTTTACTTAAAAACCCTTAGTCGAAATTTCCAGCTAACAAATTTCCCCCAAGAAATATTCATTTCGAAACAAGAAATGCATATTTTTTGTAACCTCTTCAAAATTTTGACTCCCTAAACATGCTGTCAATCTTTCAACTACTCTGACGCCATCCTCATGATGATCTTTAATCTCAAAATGTCAAATCACATCATGGGTATCTATAAATTCCATCATTAGCTACAATGACTAGTTCCTGTCTTGGAACTCACAAAAACCGTCCATCAGCATGCATGATCATGCTACACGTGTCCCACTAACCTGAGAAATTTAATTTTCTCTTTCATCAAAATGGTTCACTTTCTTCCATATAAGTAATATTTTTAATCTCTTTTTCCTTTTTTCAATCTTATTCAACTTTCAAGCTTTTTCTTTCTCAAATCTTCAGCAAAACTTTCTTAACAAATATTTCTTATCCGCATCAATGGCATCCCAAAGCAAAACTAAATCTGAAAAGGGTAAACGAAACAAAGACAATGCTTCCTCTCAACCCCTTCTCCAAATATCAGCACCATTAATGATTGGGAACCAGAAATTCGTCCCAACACCATCTTTGAAGAATGAATAGATAGCCAGATATTCTTCACAGGTATTAATTCCTTTTACTCTTGCCTCTAAAACATTAGGGTTTATGGGTCCAATCCTTGATATAGAGAAATTACCTAAACTAAAAAAGTTTTTTCCAACTCACCATTCTACCAAACCCATTGCTAGCAAGACTAATGTAGTCATAAAAACTAAGGCAGATGATGAACAAGATGTTCAAGAGAACCTTCCCCAGGAAGAATAAGAACTAATAAAAATTCCTTTAAATTTAGACTTTGTTACTGAAGTATCACGCCCCTTTAGATCAAGTCCGTCGAAAATCATCACTTGCAGCGTAAAATCGCAAAACCCCTAAAAAAGTTCCAAACCCCCTTTTTAAAAGCCTTCAACAACTATCAGTTCACGTCAGAAAAGTGCCCAGAATAAGGCCCGTTGGGCACGTGATAGTCTGTATCGCGCGTGCGATACAACTTATCCAAGTCCATCATGCATCCAAATCATTTTCTCCATGACTTTCACCTCATCAACATCACCATTTATTTTAAGTTGGTTGACTACGGAAAATACTCGAAAAAAATAATTTGAAATTGACTCGAACTCCTCCATAAACAAATGTTTAAAGTCACCTCTAAGAGTTTGAACACGAATCTTTTTATTTTCCCCAAAAGTATAAAGTCTCACATTTTCATAACCAATATTACCGATAATACGTACATCTACTAGCGCTTTGTACTTGTCATTAACATGGTCATAGCTGAAGCCGTAAAATGCTATTGACCATTTATCAAATGATAAATTAAGGTATGGAGATTTATTGGATTCGAATTTGGTTGAAGGGTTCCACAATCTAACATAACCTTCATCGATATCAAACAGACACACCAACCCGTTGCATGAACCAAGAAAATGTAACCTATGTTCCATGCTGAACTCAACCGCTTCAGTAGGTTGTGATGGGTTTTCCAACAATGGCTTTATAGGGCAAGATACAATTTTACCGTCTCCCCGGCCAAAGAAATATTGTCGGTTGACTATTCTTGGATCTATGGTTTAGCTCTGAAGGTAATTCTTTGCAAATTGGAGATTGGATATTAGGGTTTTCCATGATTTACACACGCACTTCAAGAACAGGAGAGATCTCACTGGAAGCCTTAAATGGATCTCAATGATGAGATCTTCCGGCAATGATTTGCGGTGAAGTAAGCCGCCTATGTTTAGTTTACGACTACATTGAGTGTTTTCTTCTTCCATCTTAACCATTCATATTGATAACTTGAGGTTCTTCACCTAGGGTTTACTTGGTTTGTTTTTAGGGAACCCCATGGGATTATTTCACATAGCTATCTTTTCTTTGTATCAATTTTCATTTTTCTATGACGACATTCTCTTACTCGAATGTTCGTCTCATTGTACAAAAATACTTATTCAAGTTAATACAAAGATATCCCTTTGAAAGTGAAAAACTATTTGTTTTTTCTTTTTCCGTGTTTTGTTTGCGAAAACAAAATAATGATTATTTTTGAACATATGCATTTGAACATAACTACTGTTTACAAATGAACAAAAAAAGGAAAAGAAAATAGAAAGACAATCACTAATGGATTTAGAAATAGGATAATATCTTTAGACTATTCCATAAAAGTCCCCGCAGGTACCATTTCCAACAAGAACGGAAATCAGGACTTCCCGTTGTAGGATCGCCATCATATCTCTAGTGTGCATCCTAATGGTATCAAGTGCTCTCACACCCCCGGCGGAATAAAACTTCTGGTTACCACTCCTAATATTCCTCAGTGAAAGTCGCCCAATTTCTCAGGATTCCCCAACAGGATTTCACAAGGTCTACAAGCAATACACGGCGTTTCCCTTTATACAATAGAGTTTATTTCTCTAACAAATAGAAGCTCATCAACACTTCAACTTCAAAACATGAAGACCTGTACTCCTTATACCCAGCAGTACTCGGGGATTTATTTTCCCCGACTCTAACAACATTACGGCATAACAACTAATGTGTCCATACATTGCATCCATACGTTATAACATTGACAGCACAAATACATGCGACACAATCTCATTTATTTTGAGAACATCATTGCACCATGCATTTCATACATCATGACATTGCATGCAACTAACCTTCCATCTTTTTCAGGAAAGATCAATCAACAGAGAATTATCGTCAAATTTTCAACAAGTCAATTATAGAGCAATTCCCAAGAAAGGACTGGTCAACCATCTACATAACATATATTTCTTTCAGACCCCTGCCGGTTCAGTTTAAATCTCTCAACGATTTATTCTGATTCTTTCCCGCAGACGTCTTCTCTAGTTCAGATAAATCTCAATGATTTGTTCTTATTTTTCTCCAGATCCCTGTCGATTCAGTTTAAATATATCAATGGTTTATTCTGATTCTTTCTCGCAGACGTCTTCTCTGGTTCAGATAAATCTCTCAATGATTTGTTTTGATTCTTCTCCAGATCCCTGTCGGTTCAGTTTAAATCTCTCAACGGTTTATTCCGATTCTTTCCCGCAAACGTCTTCTCTAGTTCAGATAAATCTCTCAATGATTTGTTCTGATTCTTCTCCAGATCCCTGCCAGTTCAGTTTAAATATCTCAACGGTTTATTCTGATTCTTTCCCACAGACGTCTTCTCTGGTTCAGATAAATCTCTCAATGATTTGTTTTGATTCTTCTTCAGATCCCTTCGGGTTCAGATAAATCTCTCAACGATTTATTCTGATTCTTTCCGCAGACACTTTCTCTGGTTCAGATAAATCGCTCAAAAATTTACTCTGATTCTTTCCAATTAAAAAATATTCAAGATCTCTTTTGGTTCAGTTTAAACCCCTCAACGGTTTATCCTGATACTTTCCAAAGGAACACTTCAGATTTAGATAAATCTCTCAATGATTTATTTTGATTCTTTCCGCAGACACTTTCTCTGGTTCAGATAAATTGCTCAAAGATTTACTCTGATTCTTTGCAGTTGAAGAATATTCAAGATCTCTTTTGGTTTAGTTTAAACCCTTCAACGATTTATCCTAATACTTTACAAAGGAACACTTCTAGTTCAGATAAATCGCTCCAAGATTTATTCTGAATCTTCCCAGTCAAACAACATACAAGACTTCTTCTTGTTCAGATAAGTCACTCCAAAGATTTATTCTGATTCTTTTCCAATTGAAATCAAATTCAGACTTAGTCCATTTTTCTGTCAACAGTCATCTTTAGATGGTATCTACAAGTCCATCTCCGGAAAATCTCCATCATTCCTCCGAATGGCATCTATAACCCTATTCACAATTCATCTTCGAGTGCAAATTTATGGGCACTCTAGTGTCTAATCATCTTCCACCTTTAAGTCACGAATGACGGATCTGCCAATCTAACTCTTCAGGTTTAAGAAGATTGAACAGGGGGGTCTGTTTTACCCCAAAATTTTCCTTGTCATTTATCAAACATTTTGTCACAAAGTCTCCTTTGGTTCAAGACTACACAAGGTTTGATCAGCTCAAGACACCTCCTTAAGCACTGATGACTGAAATTAGGGTTTGAGATTGCACAAGGATAATTGAACTTTTAATGCCTCATATGACTTTCATGGATCATTATGGACCCCCAAGATTTCTCATGTCAAGTTTCAAGTCTTGGATCACATTTTTGCTCTATCAATTGACCAGTTGACCTAAAAATCAGTTGTATTGAGGAAAAAGTCAGTTGTGGTCAATTTACAGTCAAACTTCATAATTTTTTATCCATATCAACATTTTGAAATAATATATGTCATTTGATAAAGTTTGGACCATAATTCCTCAAGAAATTTGATCAAATCGTCAAAAGGGCAAAATGGTCAAAATTAGGGTTTTGACTGAGAAAGGGAAATTTCTTATTTTTGACCTAGCAAATGGTTAATTGGTTTGAGACATGATCTCAAGGTTTCAATTGCATCTGTGATCGGTGGATCTGGAACTGACTGTTTAACGCTGGTTCGCGAAATGTCGCAGAAGCAAGAGTCGCCACCGTCTTTTATTTTCTCCAACATGGACAGGACAAAAGCACAGCAAAATTCCTTATGAGATAGTTTCTCGGTTCGGGAGGTAGATTTATAGAAAGGGAAGGTGTTAGAACCCTTTCTATCCATGGTTATCCATGGGCTCTTAGATACTTGCTCATTGTGTTTTCAAAAGTGTTTGCTTTTCAAAGTGTGAGTGGGTTTGAAAAAGTTTCGTTTAAAATATTTCAGATCGACTCTTGTATCAGTCCTCAAGAGTGTTTGAAAAATTGTTTTGAAAGCTTTTTGAAAAGTGTCGGTGTGAAAAGAGTTTTGATTGGTTTTTTGAAATAGAGCAAGTATCTATGAGTCATCTACCTACCCTAAGGAATTAGGCTGTGTAGAAGTCCTTAAGGTAGTGCCATCCCACCATTGAGAGGTAGCTAGCACCACCGTTGGAGGTGTTCGGGTCAATTCGAGTTTAGGGACAGTGTGGTCACCAGAGCAACAGTAGGACACCTTAGAAGCTACCCCTATGCCATAGATCATGGACATAAGGACTTACTAAAACGTCCTATACTCGACGACCACGTTTCGAGGGCAAGGCAACAATGAGGCGTACCCTAAGAGTGGTGTGTGAATTTGTGTGTTGTTTTCATGTTATGTTTTATCTTGTACATGTGTCATGGTGATCTACGCTTGTTTTTAATTTAGGCCATACATTCTTTCATGCAAAGTTTAGAATTTAAAAGGTGCGAAAATTTAAATGCGGAAAGTAAAATCCTACGCTATTACAAGGCGCGGGTCTATACATCGCCAAATTAACAGAGACCCGTTTTGAATAAAAATGCGAAAAGTAAATAAATTCCTAATGACTATTACATGGCTTGAGCAATTACATAATATTAAAAAAGGAAAATAAGAGTAAATGCGCGAAAAGAATAAAAAATGGAACGTTCGAGGGCGTTGGACCCTTTTGCAATTAAATTGAAATTAAAAGTTAATTAATTATTAAATTAAAAGAAAAGAAATGTTTTTTATGTTTTTTTTTTGTATTTATGAAATAAAGAAATTAAAATTGAAGAGAAACCCTAATTCTAAGTTGTTTTTAATTATTAAAAAAATATTCAAGTTTAACCTAATTTACTAAATATTTAATGTACATGTTTATTTACCAAAATATTTAATAATTAATAATAATAATAATGATGAGAAAATTATTTAAGAAAAAAAAATGATGAAAAGTTAAGAAACCCTAATTTCTACCTATTTTAATTTATTAAGAAAAAGATTTAAGTTTTAAAACCTAATTTAACTAAATAATTAATGTACATTTATTTACAAAAAATATTTAATAAATAAATTAATTAATATATTTTAGTTTCTGATTTTTAGATTATGAAAATTAATTATTGGAATTTAAAGGAAATAATTAAAATAATTAAAAGAAAAGAAGAGGAAATTAAAAAATACAAACAATGGGGGTGTCTGACCCAATTTGGAGGTTTATTGTGAGAAATCTGGCCCAAGAATGCAAGGCCTGCGTTGACTTTCCAGTTTGCATGTGGTGTAGTTGACTAGCGTGTAGGGTAGTCTCCATGTTCTGGCCTTTGGATTGATCATGAAGCCACTTGTCAAGCCAGTGCATGAGGGTGTATGGTGAAGCCTTGAAGGAACGCTGCATAGAAACGCATTAAGAGAAAAATTATGGAATATGTGGGGGGCCTGGGAATCGAACCCAGGTCCCAGTACCTGCAGGACACATCAGCTGCCAACTGAACTAACGCGCGTGTTTGTAATATGAGTGGAACACAAATAATATGTATGAAGAAACAACGTTATCCTGAAACAATCAAAAACGCGCTAATATTTAAACTAACCAACCATGTGAAGACACGCATGCGTCTTCTTCCTTTTTCTGCCTGT